GTACAATTTATAAATCACCAAACGCCAACAATTAACACAGAAAAACATGTTCGGCTTACCTCAGCATAAACTGTGTAGCTAGCACAGGGATACTGTGAACCAGGAATCGGAAAACCATTCCCCGAACAGACTTGGGTCTTCTGGTTTTTCAATTGAGTAGTTCATTAACAAATTATTTTCAAAATTAGATGTATATATAGAATTTTTCTTAAGGCCATTTACAGTTGATTTCACAAGACATTAGCTTCATTGATAGTACAATTACCTATAATTGACCTTGGAGCCAGATTAAGTATATTACAATTATGCAGCTAATTAAATAATTATGGAAGTATGTAGCTGGGATTCACCCATGTTCAGAAGAAACTGGACCCTAATGTAAACCAAACCTCATATTATAAGAATAAACAAAACGCAGGCCCCTTCAGGTCATCATCATCTTGAATTTGAAAAACATCTTAACTCTTTCCCTGAGTAAATATTTGCAACACCACCATCAACCAAAGTGTGGGATCTGGCAGAAGACTGTTTGCTTGCTTATTTTCCTAAAGCTTTTGTCCCTGAAGGAGTTAACACTTGCCTCTGTCGGGTCGAAATCAGAGCTGACATTGCAGAATTGCAGCACAGTGCTTTCAGTTCTTGGAAATATCTCTCATGCGCCCTAAGGCTCACAGCTTCAAGTATAAACACATTGGGATACAGACCAGAATTCTCTGAAGAACCTCTAACCTTCTGATTCTAGATTGAGTCAACTGTTGCGCCACTAACAACCTCAAACACTTGACTCTCTCTTTTATTCACATCCATTCCAGCTCACATTTTTACAGCGTGCTTTTTTGTCTTATTTGTGCACATTTGTGAAGTGGTAAAAAAAGAAAAGTTTTTTTTTTCTTTCCCGACAAGCAAAAGTGCGCAAGATCCCCATTTATGTTCGGAAACTCAATCCTAACCCGTTCGCTTTTCTCTTAGCGTCCCTCTTTGAAATGCTGCAATTGGACGACAGTTTTAAATCACTAGGAGAGAAGAGGAAATTTTAAAAAATACATCAAGGATTAAAAAAAATAACTTTGTCTTGCTTTTAATCATGAACACAGACTCCCACGCACTTTTCTGAAAACAGTACAGATTTTAATATCTTGGATGCCTCAGACACCTAACAGTTCACGGAGTGCATCTGATATCTTTAATCCCTTCTCAGCTCACACAAGTCTAGTGTGTTGGTATCTGTTAAACTGTGAAAGGCCAACTTTACTGCATATCCTACAGTTTCTGTTGTACATTTTGTACATTTTTTCTTTTCCAATTATAAAGCCTTACTATGTGGTAGCCCGAAATGACTGAACTCCGAATTAAAATCAGCGCGCCACCCAACTGAGAGCTGTGTTAAAATACACTGTCTTTGAACGGATGGCCACAGACTCACCGGCCTCCCATCAACCCCGCCAGTGCCTCTACAATTTAAATCCAATAAGGAAATGGAGTGCATGCAGATCAATCTAACCTAAAACGGTTTTGAATGATATTGTCTTATGATCTTGCCAACCTCGAGAGCAGACCTACAGAGGCAAGAAAATCCCCGGCACGCACGCATGCATGCATTTGTCCCGACTGCTCGTTATGCAACTCCTGCAGGAATTTAATTTTAAGTAACAGCGCTGCAGGCTCAGTGCATTACAATCAAGCTGTTCGCCTTACGCCTGCTGATTAATATTTATGTTGAGTTCACAGCTATGGCATCAGAGGAAGAGGCAAAGGCTTGCGTTTTCTACCTCTGTTGCTACACCTCACCCCTTCAGCAACGTTCCCACGTTAAGGTCCCACTTCCAGGAATCCCATGACAGACACACACATTAAGTAGGTCCTTAAGTCTTTCCTTACACCATACGGGATGACGCAGATCTCTTCAGGTCTGACATGAAAAAGCAACCATGTTGGACTAAACCACCCAACAACCCTCAATCTCCTATGGGCCAGAAAATAAACGTGGTCAAAATGAACAAAGAGGTGGTCCCTACATATCCAGACTGGGTCTCTAAATCAGTGGTACGACGTTTGTCAACTAAAATGGACGTGCACTTTAGCATCGCATTTACCAACAGGTACAAACCGGAGGAGGCCATCTGGAGAATGTGGCTTGTTTGGCTGAGAGAGGCAAATTGATCTGAGGATCCCATTCGCCCTTCTCTAGAAAGAAGCCAGGCATGTTTTGGAAGCTAATGTCCTAAGCCACTTGTTCCTTACCCCTATGCATCTTTGTATACATATCCCCTGATCAAAATTTTAAATGCACTTCCAACCAGTTTCCACATGTCAAAGCCTGCCCCCCCCCCCCCAGGATATGGAAACATATTGCCATGATCACTCAAAACTTAAGTGAGAAAAAAACCTTAACCTTCACCCTTGTGAAAGAGGTTTTAGAATTTATAATCCCATGTTAAGAACAATTGTTTTAAGAGCACAAGGAGTATCCTCCCCGACTAGCCACCTCTCTGCACCGCATTACAATCAGCACCTGAAACAGATGTTTTTCACCTCGCTAAACTGACCAGTTTGCATGCAGTAGACTGCAGTCTGTGCCATACAACCACAAAGCTTTATTATGACCAAAACACAGAAAGGAAGGCAAATCCATACAAATCTGAGGAGACTTACACTAGCAGATAAAACCCATCCATCTGCAGGTGGGAATGGGGGGTTTATCCTCTAAGTCCCAAACAGCTCCGAAGCTTGTGAAAACAGATGGACTAAACACTACAAAAGAAAAAAATATATGCCCCGTTTCCACTGACGCATAAGAAGAGAGACACTAAGATGATTATGTCTAAATCCCCGTAGGCTTGCGCCAAAATCATCGTGAGCATTCTAACCATTACCTTAACATCCAATCCTGCTCGGCTGCTCTCCAAGATGTGAAGAACAGTTCCTTTTTTATCTGAAAGGGAACAGCTTTGCATTTTCAGCAGAACGCGATCACAATGGCTTGCAAACCAGCCAGGTTGGAAGGGCGCAAAGGTGACATTAAAAACATGGGTGTCGGTGGCCTTAAATTTGAATCACAAAACTTGAGCACTGGCCTTGCCTCAAGAGTATGGGAGGCCCCACCCTTGGGCTTGTCCTTGGTTGGACTCATTTGGGTTTTTCCTGACTGGACTGATCCTAAAGCACAATAATTACAGAAATTAAATGTTCTGCATTGATGTGCATGAATACTTTGTGCTTAGATCGTGTTCTGATCTGGTACGATAATCTTCAAAGGTCCCTCCCCTTTGTTTCACTTCACTGAACTTCACTCTTTTTTTTTTTTAATCGTTTGCTCTCCATCTCATCTTCCCACCTTCTAACTCTAGATACCTCCAACTGAGGCATGTTTCTGCCTCAGTTCATACATTACTCAGAACTAAAAACACTATACAGCGAAGAGATTAAAAGAAAAATGAATATAAATGTATTAAAATCTGTGGTTTCGTGACAGGAGATAACGACACTGTTGGTATGACAGATATTTAAAGATAAAAGATCTTTGTACAGTTCCTTGAAAACAATGACAAATACTTCCCTGTAATTGTTTTGCAGTGGAAACATATTATACAATTAATAGCATTTGGATTTTTACAAGCAAGCCAATACTTTAAAGACAACAAGAAAATGAGGATAATTAAAAAATGGTTTAAAAATCTTTATACTCAGTACTAGAAATGTTATCACCCAAGACCAATATTGATCCGTTATAAAACCACAAGACTGAAACTTGACCAGGCAACTCTGCTTATGACTCACATGGAACACAGCCTTCAGCTTGATCAGCCAGCACACAAAGCTATAATTATCAAATCCAAGACCTGATTCAATGTCTATACTTGCTTTCGTTAATTGATCAATCATTTAATTGAGGTAGTGAACAAACCGAATTGGTCCTTTTTTGCTTTTGATAAAACATCACAGGACGTTACAGCCTCTCATTTCAAGTTACGCCACGCTTAGGAATTAAACATCTACAACTTGGAAAAACCATAAATCATCTGCGACTGTATTCAAAATAATTCGGGAACAGAAGCATTTAAGAAAAGGTTTTTAAAAACATGCAGCGACAATCCTGTCAAATTGTGGAAAGCACACAAGCAAATTTGCATAAATTCATGAGAAGTGTAAAGAACAATAGCGCTTGGGAGTTAAAACTGTGATCTCACATAGAACTATCTGCTTGCAGACTTCTGCTCATGATATGCCATGTCTATGCGAGTTCCAATGTTGCAACATATGGTATTGACGGATCTTAATAGCAGACGAACTGCTGTAAACTCCATGACCAGCTCTACCTTGTATCATCAATGATGCTGGGTAAACAGTTACAGAACCCTTCCACCTCCCCAACGAAGACATTTTGACAGATCCCCCATCTACAGCCAGATGACAAGTAAATATCATTCTGGGGAAATTGCATAAGGAGAACACACAACCTCTAGCTTCGGCATTGAGAGGTTCGCCGAAGAAGCTGCAGAATTTCAATGTTCTGACGTCTGTCTCCCGCAAGAAGACCATAGTGAAGCCTCGAACGGGTGTCTTCGTTTCACGCAGAGGACTTGTTTTGTGCTCTGAGGCCACTGATAGATTAAAACACAGCTATGAACACATCACACCAAAACTGCAGCAGTGAAATTTGAATCTCTGTCAGCTTAAAACAAGGCAAATAAAAAGACCATTATGTTATGCTGAACCACAAAGATAAATCACAAGAAGTCTTCACTTCACCTTCATTGCAGAACAGCTGTCATCTTGAGTAATGGTCAATTTAACAGGAGAAAAGCCGAAGAGATGGTCTAAAGAACAGTGAATTAGCATAACCCAAATCTGCCCTTACTTGCTGCAGAGTACTGTACTTTACTATGCTTTGCGCAGCACGTTAACGCAAATGAAACAGCAAACGCTATGTGAGGTGATGGACTTTCAAACACAAAAATCTGATTAGCGCTCCTTCCGGTATGAATAAAATCGACGATTACCTTCAGGACATCTCCACGTTTAAAACTTAATTCGTCGTCGGCAGTGGCTTTAAAATCGTATTTGGCAACGGCCTCCATTCTCCGGGGTTCTGCTGGGACACCTGTGAGCTTTTATAGTTTCGTACAGGTACAGTCTGTCGATGCAGCAGGGTGGAGATTTTACTCCCTTATTCTGCTGGCAAGTGAGATAAAAAAAAGCAAGAAAAATAACAGAATCCGTGGACCACTCGCTTCGAGTCTCTCTCCTCCCGGCTACGACCCGTTTCTCCGGGGTTAGCTCCTCACATAAAGGTCGCTGTCACGTATCTGCAAAGGCAAAGATACATCAGTGAGCCTCCCCAGGCTACGTAATTTAAATAGTATCAGTAAAGCACAAAAATATAATAATAAGGGACTAATTTAAAAGTGTTTGATCGAGCCGCGCCCTGGAGATCCGACTTGCAATGAAAGGCAAACGCTCAGCAAAAGAGGAAGGAAACCATCTGGCTGACATGCGAGTTAGCCAACCGCAACCCCACTGCGTCCCGACAGCCAATCAGGATGGGGCAAGCTTATAACGTCCAATTAGAGCCGACGTAATCGCTCTCCACCAATGGGACGCCCCAGTCCTCCGGCTCGTCCAATCAGCCGCCAGGAATGTTGACAGCGCCAATCACACATCAGCCCAGCTTCCGCGGAGTGACCAATCCGGCCTCCGCATAGGCCACAGGCCGCTTCCATATTTATCAATCATGCACTGCATTGATCTCTCCGTCTGCTACATGGCACAAAGTAACACTTTAAAGCTACAAGCGCCACACATGGGATCAGTCGCGTTTTGCCGTTAACGTCAATGCTCCCCGTTATGACTTAAAAACACACACCGAGAAACAGGGAAAAAAAACAGTCGTTAAAATGTAGGATGGAAACATAATTCGTCAGCTCTTACAAGAATGCAAGAAAAAGTAACCCTTTGTGTACAGGAACTGTGCGTTTGCTTCCGAATTATAACAATAATAATAATAATAATAATAATTGCTTACACTTATATAGCGCTTTTCTGGACACTCCACTCAAAGCGCTTTACAGGTAATGGAGATTCCCTCCACCACCACCGATAATAAATTCTTAAAATGTCAGAAACCCTGAACCGCAGACGTCTCGCAGAATACGGAAAGCATCATCTTAAGAAAACTTTCGTGGAAGTCTCGATCCACCTTCCTTCGCGACGTCAGTATTTTGATCATGTGCGCAATTTAATTCTCGTATAGCATTTTACTTTTTTTATTGCTGATCGATCTAGACAATAAAGCTTAATTTTTTTTCTTCTTCGTTGAATTAGAAAACCTACCCAATGATGTCGCAGACAAGGTATTAATATTTCCACAACTCAATATCCAACCCCACCATCGCCAGTTTTCTTAAAACTTCACGCTCGAGACCTGACCCGATCTTATTTACAACCGTTTACAACTTCCAAAGAATATTATTTAACACGACTACCGTTTTATCGCGAACAACAAACTTCGTAATCCCTTTCGTAACTTCGTCAACCGAGTTACACCCATAAACGTTTGTTGCCTACCCCACTCATGACATTTATCAATTGAAATTCGAAATCAAAGTGTCGATTAACTTGGACAAAACTATCGATAACGCCAGGAAAGATCGATCCAGCGATACCCCCGAAACATCCCGACTAGACATAAATAAGAAATCTGCCTACATTCACATTTTTGAAAACAACAGCAACGATAAATAAATGTTGGTTGAAAGAAAAACCAATGAAGGCATCCGTTCTGAACCACTGCGCTACCGAATAGCATCGCTCGTCCAGAATAAATACTCGTGAGTTTAAGTTTAAAAGGGTCTTACGCGCTGAATGACCCGAGCACAGCCCCCTCCGTCCCGACAGGGAAGTCTCCCAGCCGGATTTGTTCTAGATGGTTCCTCGATGGGAGTTAATAAACAGCTGTGCCCTGCGCCGTAGCTCGCAGACTCGACAGCCAACACCAACCACTCAAGTCAAAGATCACTTCTAGCTAATGGCCCTCAAAACCCCAACAACAACAACAACTACTACTACTACTACAACCGGAGCCCTGGCGTTAGATGGCACCGGCCTGATTTGGGATTTCGTGATTAAGAGGGGTGGAAAACAAACAAACACCAACTTCGCCGTGCACTGGCACCGTGAGGGGACATCTGGGCGCCTGTGCACCGGGGCGACCGCGCTGACATCGGGGCGAAGTGTCGCACTCGCTGGGCGAAACGCTCGGGTTTTTTTAAAAAAAATATATATATATAACCTCTCCGTCTGTACGACGAAGGGAAGCGCTGACGAGCCGAGCGCTGCTCCGCACGCCGTCTGTCAGGAGCGTCTCTCCCCCCACCCCGACTTATCTATTTATTTTCTTTTTTTAAAAAAAAACCTTCCACTTTCTGGGGGCTCCTTGTTTTCGGTTTCCTCCCTCGGACGCTGACTGTGTCCCAGGCCCCAGGAGCGGAAAAAAAGACAACACTTCGCGTCTTTCCTGTTTCAAAAAACACCAGGCCAAAATAACAGGAGACGAGAGAGAGAGGAAAAAAACAGTAACTCACCCCCACTTCAACTTTAACCGGGTGAATCCAGCTCAAACACACAGCTTGACGGTTCTCGGGGTTGGGAAATACACACTTTGTTACACAGGAATAGTAACTTGTAACCCTTTCTCTGAATCCCCCCCCCCTTTCTTCTTCTTTTTTTTTTGTACCCGTTAAAAAAAAAATCCCGATATTTATTTCCGTTTCCTTCCAGATGCGGTCCTGCTCGCTGCCTGCCTCACGGCTCGAGCCGGATCTCGCGATACCTGCCCGCGGCGTGCGGGACTGGGGCGGGGCTTGGCGGGGGGTGAGGGGGAGGAGCCTCGGACCCCTTGCTGGGGGCTCTGCGGGGTGGGCGTCAGATTAGCATAGCCGCCAGGCCGGTGGGCATGCTCGCTTCCGAAGCTGCCTTGGTCACTATGATCAAAACCCTCTTCTTCAGAAAAGCCTTTACTGAACTGGTTCCATTCCTCACCCCTCTGCTCTTCTTAGCGCCACCTTCCACCGTCTCCTTCCACTATTGTTCGATAGATAGATAATACTTTATTAATCCCGTAGGGAAATGGATGTGTGACAGCAGTCCAGCCCAAGACAAGCAAAACAGACATCAGAATAGTTATAAAACAAAATAAATAAATACATAGGTGTGTGCAAAATGTGCCGATCATAGTCGCTGTAAAAACAATAAAATATGTGCAAAATGTGCATACGTGTATACACACTGATTGCCAAAAAAGTACAATGGAGTAAACATGCTGTCCATAGAGGAGCAAATGCATATTACGATATTACAATAATACAATCTCGCCTGTCTTTTCATCTTCGTATCCCTATTAAAGGTGTTCCCCTCATTGTCGTGACTCATTGCGGAAGTGCGAATTCCAGCTCTCCCGCGCTCCTTGTCATTGCTGTCAGAGCAATACTTCAGCCGAGTAGACTTTTATAGATACTCGGGTGGAAATGCTAACTTGTTTCCACCCCGAGTCCTTATTTGCTATCCGTATTGATTTAACTGGGCAATTTGACGCCTTTCCTTCTTCATGAGATGGAGGGTTAAAGAGACCTATCAAACCCGGAGCTCGGTCTTAATTGCTGGTTTCAATTGTTTACTCACCTGCACAGAAGTAGTGTTTTTAACCCATTTCCGAGGTGTTTATAGATGAGTTTATTTTTAATGAAGTGAATGCGTGTGGGCAGTCGACTGTACAAGGCATTAAGAAAAAACTAGGTATGTATAAGAAAAATAGGTAATAATGTACCTTATAAGGTACTGACCCGGCACCTGTTGAGCTTCAGGCGGCTGCCAGTTGCGAGTTGACAGTGTGGCAGTGTGACACGGCTGCTGGCCGAGTAGACAACAGCGGGGTCAACTCATTGACTGCTCGAGTTGGGGGAGAAAGCATAACACACCATGGCTAACCTGGAATCCAGCTTGTGACCTCTGAACTAGGATGGCTCAGATCCCTTAGCTACTGTCACGCACAGCACACAGATGTGCCGAGTGGTCTCCCCTCGTTCTCATGATATGTGCTTGCGGTGGGGCTGCCCTTGCCCAGATCTCTTCCTAAAATCCTATACTCTTAAATAAGTCATGATTTCCCTTTTATTACCATGCGCTATGATTAATTTATAGGCTACAGTGAGCCTGTCTTGTACAAATTCTGAATACGCTCCCCGCCTGCGATTATACAACAACTTCTTTTGCGAACGGAGAAACAGCGGTGAGCGCCAACCCTGTGAAGAAACTGGGATTTTATTCCCTGACCTCTGGCGCCACCTTGTGGGCAAGGACACACAGGACAGGACTCGCTGCTTCCAGGTGGTGCTGGAAAAACTCGCCGCCGGTCCTGCTGATGCGGCGACCGCATTTAGTGCTGAGAATCTGACACCTTCGGATAAGCAGAAAGCAGGAGTTTGAAAATTTCTAGAACGTGTTTGATTCTGATCATAAATAGTTAGACTGAGGAACGTGAACAGTCTGGCACCAATTAGTTGCTATCACTTCAGATTAGGGCTTGGAAATTCTATGAACACATTTTATATCTTAAAAGTAGATTTAACAGGGTTGCTATTAACCTTAACGGAATGTTTAAGTACATAATAAACCATCTTTATGTTTAAATGTTTATCAATGTAATTTTGACGGTTCATTTACTGTTTTTTTTTCTATATCTAAAGCATTATTTGCAACCTTAAGCTTTACATTTCTTGTTCAAGTGCCTCGCTATATTCAAGATAAGACTTCATTAATCATAATTACTGGAAAGTGAGGCGTTACAGCAGCCCAGCCCAAGAAAAGCAAGACAGACATCAGAGCAGACTAGAATTGAGACACAGCCGTGGCATTCTTGGACGTGAACTGGGGTGTCACAGGGAGAGAGGCGCTAGACGGAGTCGGGACGTGAAGAGAGCGGTCACGTTCGCTACACGTCAGAGGCTGACGAGTTTGAAATACCTGACGAACAGAAGCAAAACATCGGTAGTTCGGAGCATCTCAGTGCGGATTGAGATCTGCGTGCGCACAACAGATCGAACAGTAGGTGAGGAGGCTTAAAGAGCAGAAATATTCATCTTTCTTTCCTACTGACGTGAAATTAATACGAGCGATAGGAGCGATTCTAGCAAATCATATGTAAGAGCATCTAATTGAAAATAAGCAATTGGCACGAAGGGTTAAAATATTGACACTGACTCAATTTTATAGCTCTTCTAAGTCTTTCAATACAGTAAAAAATCAGCTGAATTTTCACACTTTTATATGATTTTCCATCAAAGTATCTTCGCATTTTGAAGTAGCTGATTTTTATTTGACAACATTGGTTTGACGCGTTGTTATTGTGTCTAGATCACAGTTCTGAGACTGATGGGTTTTGAAAGAAACACACCTTTCGTTCTTGAAAACATGACCTACGTAAACTCATCACTCGTCTCCAAAAATTATTCTTCCAGTAACCAGACAGGTAAGAGCGCTCCAATTTACTTGGAACAAAGTATTATTTCATTTCTTCTAACTACTGACAAGGTCTCCACCGAGAGAAGGTCGTTTATATAAGCAGTGTTTAACGTATTGGTGAGCAGACGAATGAACTGGCTTAATTCGACAAGCAATTTTGGCGATGTGGTGAAATATTTTAGCAAAGCGTGAAAGAGGAAAAAAGACGAATTTGTCCTGTTACAGTAATGTGGTTTCACGATTTACAAAGTTATTAGAATCCAGTTCTACGAAACGAATGCGTTTCGTACACTTTGAAATCGCAGGAACGTGTGAAGAAGCTGCATTTAGCAAATCTCCCCGAGCCGATTCCCGTGTGAATTGAGCACCGGGAGTCCTGAACTGCATCGATGTCTCTGACTCGACCTAGCAACCCGGGAGACACGGGGGCTCTTTCACTGAACGACCGCCTTTTGTCTTTACAACTGGTTTTATCTACCCGGTTTTGTATGGGTGGACTGGTCCTTCTAGAATCAGCCCGGTGTTTACATTTTTAATGCCGCAGGTGGTGTATCTCGTGACTTGTTTTGTTGATGTCCTAAAGAATGCAGTCTGAAAAAAACAACAACACCTAAAGTGGGAATCTGAACGGCCGAGCCACAAAATGCAACGATTTGAGCGATGTGGAAAATGTTACAGTTCTGCAAGTGTTCTGTAACTCCAAGGTCCTGCCGTGAAGTGCTTAGCGCGTCGTTAACCCCCGTTATTCCCTGTCTCCCTCCCAGCTGCGGAAAGGGGCCATGCGCCCTATACCGATGTGATCATGCCCAGCATTTTCGGGGTCATCTGTTTCTCGGGGATCATCGGGAACTGCATCGTGATCTACACCATCGTGAAGAAGACCAAGTTCCGAGCCAAGCAAACGGTGCCAGACATCTTCATCTTCAACCTGTCCATCGTGGACCTGCTCTTCCTGCTGGGGATGCCTTTCCTCATCCACCAGCTGCTGGGCAACGGCTCGTGGTGCTTCGGCGCCGCCATGTGCACCATCATCACCGCGCTGGACTCCAACAGCCAGATCGTCAGCACCTACATCCTCACGGCCATGACCCTGGACAGGTACCTGGCCACCGTCCACCCCATCCAGTCCAACTACGTGCGCACGCCCTGCGTGGCGGCGGCGGTCATCGGCCTGGTGTGGCTGCTGTCCCTCCTGACCATCGTCCCTGTCTGGATGTACGCGGGCCTGATGCCCCTCAGTGACGGCTCTGTGGGCTGTGCCCTACTGTTGCCCAACCCCGCCACGGATGCCTACTGGTTCACCCTCTCCCAGTTCCTGCTGGCTTTCGCCTTCCCCCTGGCCGTCATCTGCGCTGTCTACTTCAAGATGCTCCAGCACATGTCTTCCTCCGTGGCCCCCCTGCCCCCGAGGAGCCTGCGGCTGCGCACCCGGAAGGTCACCCGCATGGCGGTGGCCATCTGCCTGGCCTTCTTCGTCTGCTGGGCTCCCTACTACATCCTGCAGCTGGCCCATCTGGGCGTGCAGAGGCCCACTGTCGCCTTCGTCTACGCCTACAACATCGCCATCAGCCTGGGATACGCCAACAGCTGCATCAACCCCTTCCTCTACATCGCCCTCAGCGAGACCTTCAAGCGGCGGCTCGTCGTGGCCATCCGGCCCGCCAGCAAGGAGTGCCGGGTCAACAACAGCACGACGGAGGGCAGCGTCAGCCTGAGAGTGGTCCCCGAGTCCCTGCAGCAGTGCCCGTTCCTGGGGGACTTCTCCCACAGCGGGCTGCCCGTCACTGTGGCGGTCCGCTGACGCGGCGGGTCCCCCCTCCCGGGGGATCTGTGGTGGCGGCTTGCGGACGTAGAGCTGGTGAAAGTCCGCTGTTGCTCCCAGTTCCTCGCATCTTCCCCCAGTTAAGGCCAGGCGACCAGCGGACGACGTGCCAAGTCTGTCCTGCGTCTCTGCTCAAACCTGCACCCACGGCCATGTCCCACCTGACTGGGGGAACGTGCTGGCGTGTTCCGTTAGATGAATGAGTTAAAAGTCCATCCAGAGCAGTCATGCTGCATGTGATCCAACAGCGTGCACAGATTGACTGTGATTTTTACTCCTTCCTTCACAGCCCACTAACACTGTCCCCTTTGGAGACCACTGACAGAACAAGTGTTATGTGTCAAACCAAAAGATATTGGCAGGCAGGTGGCATCCCACCTACAGGGTGAATTATTATTCTTTAAACATAAATTCAGAAATGATTCATTTCAGTACTTTGCCATAATGTAGATAACTGTTATTGCTAATAGTAAATGGAGGCCTTTACAGGCAAGTTCCTTTGATCAGGGGACAACATGCCCAGTTTGTCCTGCATCTCTGCTTAATGAGGTAAAAGTCTGTCTAGAGCATGTGATCCAACAGTGTGCAGTGAATGACTGCGATTTTTAAGTAGGGCTTGTTAGGGTAAGTCTAATTTAAGGTGCAATCGATTTTTTAAAAGATTGCTGGTCGGATTACACATTGCACTGTTTGTACCTCCTAATCAATTTAACACGACTTCTTTAGCCAAAGAAAATAATGTTTGGACATGAGGTTGAGCCTCTGTAATGAAGAGTCCGATTATTTACTGCAATATTCAGAATTAATAGAGTGTTCAGTTTGGGATCTCTGCAATTTTCTCCACTTATTTTTCCCTTCTGCTGTTTTTCAATGTGCAAATTCTTTTTACAAGCTTCACAGATACTATATGTGCAGGACACCCATGCTTGTTTTAAAAAATACAAATATATATCCTATTTAAGGTTTTACTCCTCGAATGGAAATAAATACCAGACAACCTCCTATGGTGTGCAAAAAGAATGGAATGGAAGTGAACCTTCACTCAGTTACACTTGGACATTTCCTTCATCGAGATGGGTCACACTCTGCAAATATTAGAAAAGGAACTGGCTGACTGATATTCTGAAGGGCATTTGCAATTTCAAATAACCGGACCGGCTCTCCTCAAGTAAACCTTCCTCCTGGGACAGTACCATAGTTTTTCCTTGCGGTGCTGATTTGCAAGTCGGCATTGATCTGACCTGTTCTTCTTTCCCCACTGCTGTGTTGAATGTTTGCGGTGCAAAGCTGGGCCACTGCATCATCACCTGGTGCTGTGAACCCCGGGGAAAAGCAGGAAGGGTGTACAGGATGGGACTGATAAACAGTTACATGCAAAATGAAAAACTGTATTCCGAAGTTTCAAGTGGAAAAACCTTGTCGAACATACGGCAGGTACAGTTTCATGTGCAATGCATGTAAACAGCTTTCTAAATTCCAACAGACCAGATGTTGTATTTCCATTACTTTCTATCAGATTCTCCTGTAAAGGATCCTTGGAGGAAGTTTAGATTACAGGACTGATTGAACAAGGATACCCCTTGAACAAATTGCGTTCTTGAATCAACTCTCCATTCCCTTAACCGATTTACTTAAACTACTATACAGTATATTCAGCGGAGCCGTGGTAGTTCAGATGGCAAGGGCATCTGGCTCCTGACAGGTAGGTCTTGGGTTCAATCCCACATAGGGGCAAGTGATGTGGCTTACCCTATCTCCTTCCAGACAGCTCCCAGGTCCACTCAGCCTGCTTTCCAAATGAGTACCGGAGGTAATAGGCTGGCCAGAGTGTGATGCTGACCACATCACCTCCAGTGTCAGATGGTCAAGAAAATGGTGGCCCTTGCCTCCCCCCATTCCCCCATGGGCCTCTGATGGCCTGAAAAGGGACTTAGCTTTACTGGACATTTCGCAAGCTGATTGTAATAACAATCCTATACTACTGCAAAGGCTGAAATTCGATATCATTGTGATGTTACTGCTGTTGTTGTCATTATCTTTAATTTGACTGAACACTGAATCACTGTGCGACGGTGGGCTGACAGATTCGCTGTGGCGCTTGTGCTGTTATCAGTGCTTTCTTGAACAGTTTGCAATGGTTATCATTCTGCTCAGCGCAGAGATCTTTAACAACCTGCATTTATGCCAGAGCAGTCACTGCAGCCCTTCCTTCACAGCCCACTAACACAGGACCCTCTGGAGACCACTGACAGAACAAGTGTTATGTGTCAAACCAATAGATATTGGCAGGCCATTGCCTTGGCATCCCACCCACAGAGTAAATTATTATTCTTTAAACATAAATTAAAACATGATTTATTTCAGTACTTTGCCATACTGTAGATACCTATTAATGCTAATAAGAAATGGATACCCTGACAGGCAATATAATACGTTCTTAAGAAAAATGATTAATTTTAAAACAGTTATTTCTAAGAAGGCATAAATAAGAGCTTGGCTAGCGACACAGTTAAAGGCTGTCCATCTGCTGCCTGTTGTTTTTATACTGAGCAGAAAATGATGTTTGCAGAAAGCACAGGAAGCCCACAAGAGGCAGCAGTGATGCCAAGAGCCCTGTAATGGGGTGTTGGGCTAAGAACACTAATTTGCCCTCTTTTGGGGGGATCAGTCTTTAGCCTTAATGTTTTTGTTTGCAAGAGCAGCGAATAAACAGGGCTATGAATCATTTCCAAATGCCAGCTGACTAAGAGAATAAATTGCACAGCACAAATGTCTCTGAAAGGCTTTTCAATCATTAATGTTTTCTCTGTCAACACACAGCCTGCTTTCAACAAGGCTGCAACATGCCAACTCAACAACCCAGCTCTGAGTGGGCACTTAGGGAGAATGAGGAATATCTAACGTTTTGCCCAATTTAAAGGGTGTCCAAAAAGCTGGCTTTGTACCCCAAGCTGTGTGAATTCAATCGTTCGCTTTGCCAAGAGAGAGACCTGCAAAAGCACTGCTGGTTGTCTTCTGTGCATGCCAGTGTCAGTGAGATCAATACTGGAGATCTTATGCTCTGAGCTGTGGTAACAGATATGCACAGCAGACTTAATATAGTTCTACTTTGTTTTAGTACTTGTTGTTTTGTTAGAAACTGATTCCTTTGTTTTTGTATGATGAAGATAAAGCACTTTTTCTTGACTTGTATGCTGGCCTCTATCTCACCTTTTGTAAAACCAGATCCTTTCAAGAGGATCCTTTAACTGTTTTTCTTTTTCTTTTTTTACAACTGCTGTAAAGCACTTTGAGATGCTACTTTTAAAGGCACTATATAAAATAAAGTCTATTATTATATTATTCCAATTGTCACAGCAGTATAGTGACATAAATATCAAGAAGGAAATGCAAAGTGTCTTGGAAACGTGATTCTTTCCTTGAAGAAGAGGAACTGAGGAACCAAGGAACTTTTACATATTTTTTTCTTGCTCTCACAGAAAAAAAAATGTCTTTACAAAAGGAAATCTCTTCTTTTGCTGTTAGGTAGTCTCTTACAGGCTGCCTGAAAGCCGCTCGATGCACAGATTTATTTCTGACAGCACCTTTACCACCTTGTAGCCTGAACTGGTCAGATCCGAGCAAGACTGGGATGACAGCTTCAAATCCAGACCAGGTGGCTGCTGTGAGTGGTGCTGGGGGACCAGTAATTGGCACTGTTCGCACTGGAACAGAATGTCCAAACCAGTGCCGCAGTATTGTATAGGAGATGTTAAACTGACTTCAATCAGCAATGATCTGATGGCACCATTTGTAATGTTAGAAGAGTTAATCCTAGTGTCATGGATAAATTCCACCCTGGATTTGCACGATCTGGCCTTTATAAATGTTTGCTCTTAATTCAATCGGTGAAGCAGTTTCTAGGAAGAGTGGGTGCTGCAGTTCAGTGAAAGATGAAATAGGCCCGTTCCCATTTGCAGAGCTCTTTGGTATCCTATGGGATGAAAATCACTCCATAAATGCAAGCAATTATTATTGATTATTTTGCTGTTGCTGCTTTACTTCCTGTGAGTGGTTGCAGAACACTGCTGCTCAGCTTATTGAGTCCTCGCAGACTGAGACTTGTCTCACACAGTAGCTTGGTCCCAATCCACTTGCTCTGTACCATCATAAGGGATTCACTAACGCAGCAGACATGGTAGGAATGGTGGTTTCAGACCAAATACATTCAGCAACATCCTTGTGCTCTCTTTCCTTGAGCCCCTGCCAGTTAAAGTATTGTTTCCTTTTTTTATTTGTGCAGAGGTATTTGTTAGTTCTAAGTGGCTGTGTTAAACAATGTTATGTCACGCTAATATAAGTCTGCTACAGATGAGTGTACTCTGTTCTTTAAGTGTTCTTTATGAAATATAAAATATGTTGAATACCAACCATATTGTTGGGTTCCTGTGACTTTGGATAATGTCTAATGTCTACACTAACTTGCTTTAGCCCAGCTGTGGGTCAGACAGCATCTGGATGGTACAATTCACTTACAAGACTCTGCGTTATGCACACTGGCAGTTAAACACATATTTCACAATGTGTTATTATTTGTCGTGAAGGGTACTACAGTAGATGAGTTATATCTTAAATGGCCTTTCACACTCAAGAGCCTGACTGAGTAAGAATTAATTTGGGTTTCCATAGAACTAAAGAATCAATATCAACCAAGTGTGTAATCACCCAAAAGGCATTTTATACTTCTCTAAGCAAAGTGTATAATGTCTTTATAGAGCAAACCTAAACACAGCATGGAGTTTGCTACATTTTAAACGAATTAACCTTTACATATAAAAAATAAAACTTACATTATCATTTGGATTCATTTATACTACTTGCATCCAGGAATTTGGCTAGAATTTGTTTTGTGTTCTACAAAATTGGTCCAAACTCCTGCATTTCTCTCCAACACCTGTGATAAGGATGCAGTTCAAGAATTCAAAACTTCATAGAAAATGATGATTATTTATAGAATTTAATTAATATTATAGATACTTATACTCCTGAATATCAGAAGACGTGCCATCATCTCATGATATAATTAAACTGAGGTTAATTTACCGGCATGTTAGCAATAAAACCTTATTTCCCAGCATGGAACAATCTGCACAAACCTTTTCCAACATTCACAATAGGTCACTTTGCCACTGTCAAGCAGTTTGCACTGCAGATATAATATAAGTCTTCATTTCCCCATTCTGTGAGAGTCCATGTCGAGGGATTATATACTGTACAAAGACAAAAATAATTTGGGATGACCGTGCTCAGCGTTGGGATTTTTTCCATTTCGTGTTTCAGAGTCTTGTGCGCATGTTCTGTTCTGCGCTGTCTGAGCAAGGCAGGCCAAGTCCATTCATCCATCTATTTTCTAAACCACTTCTTCCAATTTGGGGTCACGGGGGAGCTGGAGCCTATCCCAGCAAGCTACAGGTGCAAGGCAGGCTACGCCTGAACGGGACACCAGTCCATCACAGGGCAGACATGTGCACACACTCACACCAGGGCCAGTTTTGTCCAGACGCCAATGAACATACCGGCATGTTACTGGTCTGTGGGAGGAAACCAGATGAACATGGGGAGAACACACAAACTCCACACAGACAGCACCCCTATCAGTCTTCCAGGTCTGGAACCAAACCCGGGGCCCCGGTTCTGTGAGGCAGCAATACTTGCTACTTCAGCACCTTGCCACCCATGGGCCCAGTCCATTTTCTGAAATGAGCTGTCAGCCCTTGAAAGTTTATTACAGAAAACCATCTTAATCGACCAATAGTCTTTCCATTCTTTCACACCATACATTCACGACCTGTTTTGCTGGGTCAGGGGCCAATTCTGTGATGAAAACAGATCTTGTCTAGGATATCATTTTTAGTTACTTTTCTACTCAATGTTATTTCATAGAGTAGAGCCATAGAGTAGAGCCCATAGTGAACATACAGTAATAAAAATACAGCCCAGGTTGTGTGACTTTTTTACTTGTATTGTCCATGTAAGAAGCACCAGGACAGATTCATTAGCATTCTTGGCTACAAATCTTCGATCCAAATTCTTTTACAGAGGAGCCCTACTATGAATCTTTAGGACGTTCTTCGAGTTCTCCTGAGTTGTGGGGCTCCATCAATAATTCTCATAGTTGTCTGAATGATCTGGGATTTCATTGACGCACAACACTGTGTGCGCTGTGTGTACCTCAATTGACGGTTATGGTGACTGGAAATGTTATCACCATTCCTTCGGGACATTATTTTTAAGTGAGTCTGATAGAAGCTATTAAAAAAAGGCCCAGACACAGATTGCTTGCTGCAGAGAGATTGCTTTACTGTTCAGCTGTAGGGCCACCTGCTGGGAAACCAAATTTACTCTCATCTCCCAGAATGTAAAATTATAGTTCTACCACGACTGGTGATTGCTTATCAGAAAGTTGGGCTGGCTTTGTCACTCCGGCGATATACAGGTTACTTTTCTACCACACTCCACTCCAATAAACAACTAAATTGCTGTAATCTGAGCTCAGTGCATACAACTTCAGAATAGTTAATGTGATACACAGGATATTCTTCCAATGTGCCATGAAAGCAAAACACACAATTAGCAGGTGTCTCGTTAGTGTCACACCAACAGTCTGTGGATAAGAATTAATGTTAACAAGTTCACATGTAGACCATTAGCGGAGCTGGCAAACTGGATTTTTTGTGTTGTACAAAGGGACAATAATAATGTGAACTGCGCTAGTACCTGCCAATTATACTTTCTTCTTTAAGCCAGCCAGTTTAGAATAGCCTAATGCTGTTTTACACCATTTC